GTCTCGGCTGGAAGCTGCCACAGCCTCGCCCGCACCGCCGACGGAGCCCTCTTCGCGTGGGGCCAGGGCGATCGCGGCTGCCTAGGCCACGGAGAGGACTTGTCGAACCAGCTGCTGCCCAAGAAGGTCGAGGCGTGGGAGTCGGGGCAGTGAGGTATCGGGGGCTCTGTAGACCGGCCGGGCGTTTAGCGGCGTAGCTGCACCACAGGAGCTCCTGCGGGCGGGGGCATCACACGTTCAGCAAAACAGGGGCGTGAGCGCCGCGGTGTTGGGCAGGTGCCGGGGCAGGTGCGCTCATGCAGGTGCGCTCATGCTATAGCGCGTAGCTACTGCACGTAGGGGTAGGCGTTCGCGCCCCCCCTCGCTCGGCCACACCCCGGCAGCCGGCAGCCAATGTGTGTCGTTTCCCTCGCCCCGCCCTCGGACCGCCCTCGCCCCGCCCTCGGACCGCCCTCGCCCTCGCCCCGCCCTCGCCCCCGGCGGCATCCCCCCCCCGGCCGCACCCGGTCGGGCCGCCACCCACCGCAGTTTCGTCTTCGACCGCCGACGCCCGCGCGCAGGTGCGCCGCATCCGCGACGAGTGCTCGCTCGCACGCACAAAGACTCAAAGAGGAGAGAGATGACAGTCAGTGAGTGAAGCTGATTCCTACCTATCCATCCGTTTCTCATACATACGGACTCGAGCTCTCTCTACCACTCTCGACGCTCGGAGGACCCCCGATAATAAATAAATAAAATAAATACAACGGACATCCCAAACTAGGGCTGGGTCGAGGACAGACACGTCCCCACCTTTGCAGGATTTTGCAAAAGCGAGGGGGGAGGGCGCATCGCCGCGCGGAGAGGGCTGGGCACAGGGCACAGGGGATCTCTCTCGCCCCCAGTTCGCCCCCGAACCTGGGGGGCACAGGGGAGCTCTCTCTACCACTCTCGACGCTCGGACCCCCCACGCATAGGTTAGGATGCATAAACGACGGGGGGAGGGGGGCAAAGAAAGAAAGAAAGAAAACAGACAACCCAAGGGAGGGATGGGAGGACGGCACGCCGCCACCACACAGGGATTTTAAGGGAGGGGGGCAGTCAGAAGAAAGGGAGGCGAAGCGTTTTTTCTCAGCGATTTTTCCGCTTCGAACACTGGGGCGTCGCCGGTGAGGTTGGGGGCGGAGCAGGTGGGAGGGAGCCCGGCGAACGCGGCGGCGCAGGAGTGCGTGAGGGGCTCCGTCCCACCGTGGCTCAGGCCGTGAGACTGAAGGTGCGGAGTGCGGCGAGGAGTCCGATGGCCGCGGCTGCAGCACCGGCGACGGCGACGGTGGCTCCGGTCGAGTCAGGCTGCGCCGGCGGCGGCGACGGTGCCGTCGGCCGCTGGTCGACCAGTGGCTCGGACTCGTTGCTGCAGCCGCATGCCCTGCACGAGTGCGGGCGTGCAGGGCGCGCCCTCCAGGGCCGTGTTGTGCTCACCATTATACGGCACCGGGTCGACGCCGCACCTTCGCGCTTGTACCAGCCGGGGTAGCTGGTCAAGTTGCAGGGCGTCGAGCCTACTGTTGTACCGGCCGCATGCCTGCTAATCTCCCCACAGGAGAGCTGCTGGGCAGCAGGAGGACTGGGCAAGCACGCATCTCGCGTCTGAGCGCAAGAGCCAAGAGATGCCATCGCGGGTCCGGGTGAAGAGGTGGGAGCAAGAGCGCGCGCGCGCGCGGCGCGCGCGCGCGCCGGCCGTCTGGAGTCGGAGCGGGTTGTGCTGACCTCAGTACGCGCTCGCGGGGCCTCGAGGCCGCGCGGCGAAGAGCATGAGACGACTTTTGCGGCCGCCGTCGAGGCGCTGCCGAGGCGCTGTCTTGCGCCGCGCCCGTTCTCCACAGCGGCGTTTCGAATCCAGACGAACCCAAGGTGTGGAAGAGCCGGGTGGACCCTCTCGAGTGATCGGGCTGCCTTCGCGCGCGGCACGTCGAACGGCGCAGCCGTCAGTACCTAACCTGCTCGTTGGCCCGTGCGATGGCTTGGACGGACGTATTCATTTTAAGAATTTTACAACCACACGTGTTTTTGGCGATATAGATTCATTTTTTCGGCAAAATTGAATCTATGTGGCGTATTTAAATGAACGCCAGAAAATCTATCTATCTGGGCGCGACGCGTCGAATCTCTTTCCGCTACCGTTTACTTAATGAAATGAACTCGGGGGCACGGGACGCGGCACAAACGGGACACAAACGCCAGGCTACAAAGACGGGGAGGCACGTAGTGACGCAGGGGAGTTTACTTACTCCCACTATGAACGGCCAAAACATCTCTCTCTCTCTCTCTCTCTCTCTCTCTCTCTCTCTCTCTCTCTCTCTCTCTCTCTCTCTCTCTCTCTCTCTCTCTCTCTCTCTGTATCTCTCTCTCTCTCTCTTCTTCTCCCCCCCCCCCCCTCTCTCCCTCTCCCTCTCTCCCTCTCTCCCCCTCTCTCTCAGACACTCTAGCACTCAGCGGTCTCTTCTCTTCCCTCAGCAGTCTCTTCTCTCGAGTCTATTGCACGAGCGCTAGGGCTAGCGCCTGCGCAGTTGTGCGGCTGGCTGGCTCCCGGACTGGCGCGTTTGACAGTGTCCGCGACATGTCCGTGACGTGTCCGAGACATGTCCCGTAGGTGTGTCAGCTCGCGCGGCGCGTTTGACAGTGTCTGCGACACGTCCGTGACGTGTCTGAGACATGTCCCGTAGGTGTGTGAGCTCGCGCGGCGCGTTGGCGCGCTATGCGGGCCCGCCGCGCCCTACGCGGGCGGCGAGCCGACGTGCGTGCCGCAGTCATAGGCAGCGCTGGCGAAGCGAGGAGGTCGGCGCAGGCCCCCAGATGCGGTCACAGCGAGAGAAGCGAGACAGCAGATGCTGTCGGAAGGGTGAGGAGCAGCCTGCCGTCGAGTGGCGCGCCGCACAAGCCCGCCGTCGGCGGCCCGGTTCGAGAGCAGGTAGTCGTGGTAGTATTGAGCGCGCAATCGCGCCCGAGCCGGCCCGCCCTGGCCCTGCAGACCCTCCCAGAAAGTTGGCGATGCTCTACAGCATGCCCAGAGCATACCGGACAGGCTCCCGTCGAGCGACGAGCTATGCTGGCTCGCCGCCGGCGGCGAGCTCGAAGACCCGCGCCGAGCCTCGCCGAGCCTGGCGGGCCCACCCACACGCCCGCGGCCGCAGGCAAGCAAGGCGAGCTTGCTGGCGTCTTTGCCAAGCGCCAGCATGCCAAAAGACACCTCGCAGCGCGCGAGACGTGCCGAGACCGATACGCCCTGGCGCCGCGCGAGCGTCCGGTGGGCTCCCGCACCAAGCGCGCGGCCGCCGCGCGCATTCGCGGCGGCAGCGGCCGGGGGCGGAGCGCGCGCATAGACAGTTGTTATCTACCCTTATAAGTCTCTCGTGTCCGCGCCGACGCTCTTTTAACGTAGAACGTAAAAGCTGAACACTCGAGAACACCGCCCGCCGACGATCGATCAGTCCACAATCGTCGGCCCGCAGCGACCCGCAGCGCTATACATGGATGCCGCCGCCCCCCCGGCCCCTACGGCCGACGCGCCGATGCACGACCGGCCTCCGTCGGACGGCTCTCCGGCCTCTCCGGCCGCTGCCGCCCGCGTTGCTGCAGATCCAGTCCCTCTCACGCTCAGCGATACCCGCACAACCTACGACAACTTTGAGGTCGCCGGCTTTGGCCAGGTGCAGCCACCACCTGCTTGCCTCCATGTTCACGCTTCGCGCCCCTCCCCCCCCTCTGACGCCGCCGTATGACCTTAGGTGAGGGGCACGACTACCCGCCTGGAAGGCGCTCTCATCAGCAAGTCACCCAGGCACCAACTCCTGGGCGTTTACGCTTGACTACGAAACCATGCAGTGGATGCAGCTCGATCAAAACGGCGACGCCAACAGCTGGCCCCTGGGCGAGTTCCTTGCGCTCAGGATGAGGTGCGAGCCATGATGCTCGACTATCAGCGTGCACCAAGTCGCTCACATTCCGTGAGTTCGTCAACGGGCCGAACTCTCCAAGTCGACGGCGATCTCGAACTCTGACAACTGGACCGGTGCACCAGCCGCGGAGGACGATGGCTCCCTCGACGACATCCCTTCATCGACGGACGCCTTCACCGCCGCCGGCCCTGGGTCATCCAGCGCGGCCTCCGACGGCCTGCACGTGATCGAGGTACAGAAACGGTGGCTGCCGCAGCTCACACCCTAATCTATCTGCCTTAGGCACGGAGCCAACGGAGCCATCGCGCATGCCCGCATCGCGTGCGGCTCCGAGGTCTCCCGCCGAGACCGGCTCGGCGCGGCGCGTGGCCGCACGCCGCCGTCGAAAAGGCGATAGGAGAGGGGAGAGCGCCGGCCACATCGAGCGAGCGCTGACGTGTAAGGTGTCTGCGCTGCTCCGGTGTGTGTGGGATTATGCCTCCCCCCATCTGTGCGGCGAGGTGTTTGCGGTGGGTGCGATGGCCGATCGTGCGCGATAGCCTCCTATTGTGCGTGGTGTGTCGGTGTGTCGGTCGTCCGGAGCGTGTGGCGGCGCCGTTGCATGCAGCGACTCTGCTCACGTGCCAGCTGCCACGACTGAGCTTTGACTGACTTATGAGTGCTGATGGATGATCTCCGACAACCCAAAACCAAAATGAAAATGCGGAGTGGCCCCACTTTGGCGTGCAGATCCTGCGTCTCTCACTGCCCGCGAACAACAGAGGCGGGGGCCGCCGCAGGTCCCCCACTAGTGGCGCTATATCGCGCTGTGGTCGCGGCGGAAAGAATTCGCCCCCCTCCCGGGGCGATTTTTCCGCGACTCGCAAAAGCCTCGCTGCCGCCGCTGGTGACGCCGCGGCCCCACGCACCCCACACAAAGAGGGCGGAAACTCCCTCGCGCCTGCAGAGAGCGCGCGGCCGCCGCCGCCGCCGCTTCTAGCCGCCTCTCTCGTGCTCTCCGTCTCCCGACCCCAGCCCCACCCCGCTTTCCCTCGCTCCCTCTGAGCGCGCCCCGCTGTGTTGCAAGGTTGCCATGACGCTGCAGCGCTTGCACTCGAACGGGAACTACCCGTCGGTGGCCTCTCTCGCGAGCGCCCAGCGCGCCGCGCTCGTCGCGCCGCTCGTCGCCCTCGGCGCTGTGGGCCTCTCGCTCGGCGCTGCGTGGGCGTGGCAGGCCAAGCAGCAGATGCCGCTGCTCGACGATCGCGCCGAGGAAGAGGGCGCGGAGGGGGAGGGGGCGTGCGTGGATCTGCCGGCGGCCACCAAGCCGGCGGCGCGACGCCGCCACAAGCGGCAGAAGGGGCGCTCTGCCGACGCCAAGGCGGTTGCGGCGGCGCAGCGCGGCAAGGCCTCCTCCGCAGAGGAGGGGTCGGAGGCGGGGAGCGAGGGGGCGACCGGCAAGGCGTACGGCAAGGGGTCGGCGGACGGCGTCGAGCGTGCCGACTCCGACACCGCCTCGACGCACGAGCCGGCCGCCGAGGCTGCGGCGCTTGCCCCTCCGGGGGATGCGGACGACGCCGCCGACGACGCTGCCGCCGACGACGCGGCAGCCGACGACAGCGCGGCCGATGTCGAGGTTGCGCCGATGCCGGCCAGTGAGCCGGAGCTGTGGACGACCAGCATGCCCGCCTCACCCCCCGCCGCCTGGAGCGAGGATGCCGCCAGCCCGGGTGGCTGGAACGTCGTTGAGCGGCGACGCGCGCGCACCCGGCGGCCTTCCCCGGAGCCCGACGCGGCGAGCGGCGCCGGGGAGGGCCCTGTCGCGGCGGCGGAAGCTGCTGCTGCGGGCGCAACGTCGGACGCCGGCCTGGCTGTGCTCTCCCCGGAGCCGCTGCCTGAGCCAGAGGCCGACGACGACGCCGGCGCTTCTGCTTCCGCGGCCGCTGCGGCGGTCGCGGCTGTCGGGGCGGCCTCCTCTCCCGACGGCGAGAAGAAGCGGCGGAGACGCAAGAAGAAGGCAAAGGGGGAGGAGCAGCAGCCCAAGGGGGACGGGGCCGACGGGGCGGGCTCGGATGACCAGGCCGGCGCCCCCAGCGCGTGGAGTGTCAGCGTCTCGTCTGACGAGACGCTGCCCCCGCTGCCGTGGTCCAACGCCGCTGCCGCCGCCGCCGACGACGCCGCCTCAACAGAGGCGGCGGTGGCGGCGGCCACCGCCGAGGCGGAGCTGTCGGCAGAGGAGGCCATCCCCCCCGTCGCAACGATGGAGGTTGGCGCTTGGGGGGCCCGACCAAGGGGAAGCGGCCCCGGCAAAGACGGTGCCGCGCGCCCCCTCCCCCCCCGACCCGGGGCCGTGCCCCCCCCCCCCCCCACACACACACCCACCACCCCCACCCACCCACCCGCCCACACCTCCCCGACCCGCACCGCTCCTTCACTAGGCGGCTGGGCCACCGTGACGCGGCGGCGGGGCGGCAAGCGGCGCGAGGAGCGGGCTTCCGGCCCCGTTGCGGGCGGCGCGTGAGGGCCGCGCCGCCAGCTCGCTCCACCCGCGCCCTGGCGTAGAGCAGACCAGCCGCGCCGGGGCTGGTGCGGGTTGGGGGGAGGACGCCTGACGGGGCCGTCCGGCGGCTCTTGTGTTTTGCGGCCGCCTTCACTGTGTCGGTGAGCTGGGGCTTGCCCGCCACTGCTGTGCTTAGATGCACCGAGGGACAGAGGAGAGGAGGTGCGTGATGGAGGGTGTTGTGAGGAGGGGAGGGGGGGAGTGTGGTGTGCGTGTCTGTCGCCGCTGTGATGTGCATGCGGGATGCGAGAGATGCGAGATCGAGAGAGATGATGGCCTCCGCCGCCGTACGTGTCGCCGCGCCGCTCGGCTGTGCGCGCACTCGAGTGTTGGTGTTGGGTTGTCCCGGCAGTCTCACACCGCGAGTGACGCGCACTGTCTTAGTTCTGGTTCGCTTGCTTTTGTCTGTCAGTTGAGGTGTTGGCTGAAGTAAGTCGTCTGTGGGTCGTTTGCTTCAATCGTTCTCGAAATAAGTGTGGTCAATTCAGTATTCACCCTCCAGGCCGACGTTTTTTTATCTCTGGGTCAGTGGGGGGCCGAGCCACCTCGGGGTGGCGGGCGGGCGGGCGTTTTGAAAAACAGAAAACAGAAAACAGAGGGGGGCCAGGGCCCCCACTACGATTAGACACAAGCACCTGGCTCCTGGGACAAAGCGAGCAGCAGCAGCAAGCAGTTCAGCGGAGAGGGGGGGGGGGGAGGAGCCGAGGGGGTGACGTCCCGACACGGCAGGTTGGAGCTGACCCAGGGAGAGAGAGAGAACAGCGATGGCAGCCCCCAATGACTGTAGACAGAAATGACGAGCCGACAGCGATGCAGCGGCAGCGAAAGCGGCGAGGAGGGCCCGCTGCAGAGCTCCGCTGGGCGGCAGCAGAGACATCGGCGGGGGGACGGGGGAGCACGCGGGACACGTCGGCATAGGAGCCAGGGGTGTGTGGGCTGGGCCTGCATCATGAATGGGCCTGATAGCGACGGCGGCGACGTAGGCGAGACGGCGGCGAGGGTGGCGACGGCCACGATGAAGCTGGCTTGACGAAATGGATGACGCCATCGCGCAACAATAGACATCCCCTCGATGTCGTCGTCCTTGCCGGAAGGGGCAGCGCACGCGCCTCTGAAGATCGAGGCGCGTGGCTCAAAGCCGGCGCTGCGCGGGTTCGTGCCCATCCGACTATTGTCTACTTTTCCATTTTTTTGGATGCCGTGGTCGTGGGGGTCACTCACGACCCGCCGCACGAAGTAGGCGGCGCGCAGCGCCGCTCTCGCAGGCTGTTTTTGTCGGTTCTACATTTTGTTTTTGTTTTCAGTCTAGGGGGCCCGACCCCCTCAGAGGCGGCGGGCGGGCGCCCACTGACCCAGAGATCAAAAACGCTCGGCCCCACACACCACACCCCGTAATGGGGTGGTGCTGTGCGACTCCACGAGAGCTGTGCCCTGTGCGACACACAAATAACAAAACCAAAATCTGTGAAATGTGAAACTGTTTGCGGCGGGCAGGCATCTCTTCATCTCTCCCAACACCCAAGGCCACACGCCCCACACAACTCGCAAGCGGCTGTGGCGCTCTCGGGGATCTCGCGATATCTGCGTCCTTCGGTTGAGACCGACGCGTCCCCTGTCCTCCAGCCTGCGGCTCACCTGCCTCACTTTGCCCCGCGCATGCGCATCTCGCCGTCTAGCGCCGCGCCGCTCGCCGCGATCGGACGCCCCTTGAGCCCGGCGCTCCTCTCCACCTTCGCCGGGTAGCGACAGCCGAGGTGACGGCTGTTGGCCCAGACCATCGAGAGGGCCGCCTAGGAAAGGTCAGGTCAGGTAACCTTCCTTCCACAAGGGAGCGGGGGGGCGGGGGGGGGGGGGGGGGGGGGGAACCCTCGAAACTCGACGTTTAAAAAAAAGGGGCCCCCCGGAATTAAAGGGCCAAACCCCCGTCCCCCTGGGTGAGCGGGGGTTAGGGAGAATGGGTTGGGGATTAGGGTTAGGGTTAGTATTGCGGGTCAGTGTAATCGTGTTTGAGGTGTGTATATGCCAGAGTGTGAGGGTGTGTGCGTGTGTGTGTGTCCATGTGTGTGTGGTGGGTGTGTGGGGGGGTGCGCCTGCTGCATGGCCGCCCGCTCGTCACCGGCTGGCGGCGGGCCGAATCGGCGGTGCACCCACCGAGCGCGCTCCGCAAAGGCTGACTCCGTCTCGCTCGGCTGGAGCGTCACGAAGGGGTGGGGCGGCGGCGGAGAGAGCGAGGCGGGCGTGCCAACCAGCCGCACGGAGTCGATCTCGCTCCTACTCATAGGCCCATCTCGTGTGAGTCGACTCATTGTGTGAATCGCCGCACGGAGGCGGGGGCTCGCTCCAAAAGGCGTCGGACCAGCCTGTCGTGTCGAGCACCTGTTCACAGCAATGGGTGTGAAGAGACGCTGTTCACAGCCTGTCGTGTCGAGGACCTTCCCAGCGCGCGCGGGAGGGAGGTGTGGGGTGGGGTGGGGTGGGGTGGAGGGGTTAGAAGGGGGCGGGAGGGGTGGCGAGTCGTGTGCGGGTGCGGGGCAACCACCGGGGGACAGGGTGTCGTGGCGGTGGCGGTGTGTGCGTGGCGAGTGTGGCAGTGGCGGTGTGGGGGGGGAGGGTGGCGGTGGCGGTGCGTGGCGAGTGTGGCAGCGGCGGTGTGTGCGGCGAGGGTGGCGGTGGCGGTGCGTGCGTGGCGAGTGTGGCGGCGGAGACGGAAACTGACCAGCTCAATCGCGCGGACGGGAAGCGTGCCGGGAGAGACCTTGAGCTCGAGCGCGTCGCTCGGCTGCCGGTGTGGGTCGGTGTTGTACCTCTCTCCCCGCCAGATGGTCGCCCAGTCCGACGCCTCGCCGCCCTCACCGCCGACCTCGGTCGCCGCGCGAACCTCGACGAGGGAGCCCGGGTTGAAGGACTGGTACACGGTGACCGAGGAGGGCTCCACGGCGGTGCGGAAGAGCAGCCGCACCCACTCGCGGTCCTCCCCCTCGCGAGGGACGGGCGACCACGCTCGGACGCTGGAGCCAGCCTTGGGATACACGGCCGGGCGGCCGAGCAGCTGCCGCGCGGAGTTGTCGCTGCTCGAGAACTCGGAGCTCACCCCGACGACGCCCGTCGGATACTGCTCGATCGGCCGCGAGGCCGAAGCTGCAGGCGCGCGTGAGGGAGCTGCAGCAGGCGGCGCGGAAGCCTTGCTCGAGGCGGCAGCCTTGCTCGAGGCTGAGCCCAGCGCGACCTTGGCAAGCTGCTTGGCGGCCGCGTCGGGTGTCGTGCGCGCCTTTGGTTTGGCACCGAGCGGGCGGCTGAAGGAGGGCTTGGGCAGCGCCGACGGCGACGGCGGAGAGGGAGTGCTCATATACACACCCGTAATATGGCCGCGCGAGAATAAAAAATAAACTGGGCGTTGCCCGCAACCCGATCCCGATCATCCGGCCCGCTGGGTGCGCTTCTCAGCTCCCCGGCCCTGGATGTGAGGCTGCCGACAACTGCTCCAAGTAGCTGTTAAAATCCGGATCGCGGCAGAGTATTGGTGCAGAGCTCGTCTAGGAATTCACCTCCATCGCGTTCGCCGTCTGCGAGTTGAGCTTCGCCACCTTCGCCTTCTTCTCCCGCGCCGCCGCCGCCTCCCGGTCCTCGCGGCGGTCCGCCAGCGGGTTGTCGCCGGCGTCGGCAACCACGATCATGGCCGTGACGGCCTCGCCTGCCATCTTCGATTCTCGGTCGATCGCGCGTCCCAAAAGTCGCCAAAAGTCGCCAAACGTGGCGGCTCGCAATCACCCGCCCGCCGTCCCGGCGGTCCCGCAGCTCGCGCGAATCTCCCTCTTAACCCACCTCTAACATCACAATAGGGAATTCCTACCCGCGCACCTGCCCAGCGAGGAGCTCGACGCCGCTCCTGGCAGGCGAGGCAGGGATCTCGGCGACGTTGGAGAGCGGGCGCACGATGTCGTGGGCGACGCCCGTCCGCAGCTGACACGTCGTGGTGACGATGATGGCGAGGAGCATCACGGTGGAGAGGAGCGTCCCGGCGCTGCTTGGGCTCGGTCGAGTTAGCGGTCTGGGCATGGGCATGGGCAGGGACATGCTGAGGGAGGGTGTAGAGGATGTAGAGTGTAGAGCGCTGTAGAGCTGTAGAGATGTAGAGCGCTCTGGAGCGCTGTAGAGCTGTAGAGCTCTACATCGGCTGCGTGACGAGGCGGGTGCGTTGTAGAGCGATGTAGAGCGCGATTTTGCTGTAGAGTTTGTTGTAGAGGCTCTACAGCCAAACCGCCGGGAAGGCAGTGACTCAAAGAGGTCGAGTCGCACTAATGGGGTGTCTCCGAGCTTACTGGAGCTCTGATGGACGGCCCTGACTATCACTGACACACAGAGACGGTCACTCTGACGGCACACAACACCCTATAACTGCGTCATGACCAGCCTGCCATGCGTCGCCGGTGCCGCATTCGTCGCTGTGCTTCTTTAGCAGGCGGTGGACTATCGGCTGCGAGGACGGTCGCATTTGCGCGAGGCGAGGCGAGCATTCAGACGCGTTGCATGCGCCATGACTCGCGCCAGCGCGTGCGGGAGCTCCTGGCTGAGCGTTGAGTCCAGGCGAGTTGCGCTGGCCACGATCGCTACGCCAAGCCGAGCTGACGCGCCGAGGCGCCGGCCAGTCGCAGCCGTGAGGCATGCCACAGCAGCAGAGGCACCTGCCACCCATTGGGCGGGCAGACAGAAGGCCAGGGCAGCACTGGTAAGTGCAACGCGCCTCATGTCGGAGAGCGACCGTGCCTCGTTCGCCGCTTATGATGTAGAGTTTGTTGTAGAGATTTCACGTTGTAGAGCGCCTCTACATCGCTCTACAACGCACCCGCCTCGTCACGCGGTGGATGTAGAGCTCTACAGCTCTACAGCACTCTCCAGCTCTACAGCTCTACAGCTCTACAGCGCTCTACACTCTACATCCTCTACACCCTCCCTCAGGGGACATGACGATTTTTTTCTTTATCAGGCGGGCAAAGAATTTCTTTAGGGCCTGCCCTGGATTCGGTACTTCAGCTTGGTATAGTATCATCGTATTGCAGATCATACCCCAGGGCTATACCCTGATACCCTCTTGAGAGGACCCGCATTGGGACCCTAGAGGATAGGCTGATACCCTGGGTGGGTTACCGTTCACACCGGACACGACCCCCCTCTTCACACCTCTTCGCGCGCTGCGCGCGCGCCAAGACAGACAAACGCGCTCGAGTGAGCGTCGCGACTTGGGCTGGAGCAGGTAGTCCCCGACCGCACCGAGACCGAGGGTGAGGACGAGGAGCACGTTGACTCGCAGGACCTAAAATCTCTTCGTGCGGCGGAGGCGCAGTGTGAGGATCTCGAGGTACCCTTAGATGTGGTGGATATGGAGGAGAGCGCAGCTGCAGAGGAAGAAGCAATGATGCAGGCACAAGCGCAAGCAGCCGCGCTTATCGACACGCTGCAGGGTGATATGCACACATGCGGGCGCTGCCAGGAAATCGTTCTCGAAGTCAACATGGCACCGGCAACATCCGGTGAATTCCGAAACAGCTGGCTTTGCCGAAACGAGGAGGCGTGCATTGCGCGCGCAACAGCTGGTGGGCGTAAAGAGTTTGAATGATACCGGGGCGGACCGTGCGGGAGGGCTCGGTCCTTTGGTGCGAGGTGTGAATTGTCGCTTCGCTGCGCGGCCGCCGATGATACCTTGATACCCAGCCGAGATAAGTCCCCACAGAGGCCTAGAGCATACCTTGATACCCCCTCGAGAACAATACGATGATACTATACCAAGCTGAAGTACCGAATCCTGGTACCTCATGTATCGGAGTTATGGTCCTGATACGACCTGTGAACGTGAAGAGAGTGGTACCAGCACTGTCGATCGTTACGGCACGCAAGGGGGGCCTCCCGGACGTATGATCCTAGCCCAATAAGTTCCACGGAGCAGATTTGGATTTTTGACAGAATTAATGCACTGCCCCCGCACGATACTAACTATCGTAGTTTTGGTCCCGGTGCCCTTCACGGCACCACACCGCCGCTTGAAGGCCCGAGATTAGCCTAGCAGTGAGTGGGCATCGCCTGCCGGTCGGCTGGGCACGAGCCAAGCACTTGGGTGGCCGTCGACCGAGTCCGAGCGGCGCCTGAGGTGGGTGCCACGGCGTCCGCACGAAGGCGTGGCGGGGTGAGGAGCCAGGGGTGGTGAACACCTCCCCGACGGGCGCGCGGCGCGCCGGATGGTCCGCCGAGGCCGCCGCCGCCCCGGCGGCGGCGATGGGGGCGGCGGGGCCGACCCGGCCGGCGTTTGTCGGCTCCACCTACAGAGAAGCAGCCTCTGTGGGTCGACGATACTAACTCGGTAGTAACGCGGAGCGGTGCTGTGCGGCGCCGAGTCGTGCGCGAGGCGACCTCCTGAGGCTACCTGAGCTGGCAATGGATGCCACCAGGACGCACGGCTAGCAGGAGCCAGTCAGGCATGCCCTGCTGTGGAGCAGAGCCAGCTGGCGCACCGGCGATACTAACTCAGCGCGCCGCGAGAGGCGAATCTGGGCGACTTTGGAGGCGCAGTTCTCGAGCTTGCCGTCGACGATTGATGTCGGGTAAATTGTCACTGCCGTCCGGGAAGGTCTTCTCTCAACAGGCCGAGCGCCGTGGCCTGGCTCGGCTCGCCGCGAACGCCGCGAATTTATCAGGACCAAAACTCACGAGACCTCGATACTAACAAAAACTACGATACATGAGGTACGGCGCATCGCGCGACGATGCCCGACCCGACCAACCTTGCCCTCATCGGAGGCGTCTTTGGCCTGCTCATCGGCTCCATCTTCTCGCAGCGCGCGCGCTGCGGCCTCGCGTACCTCGTCGTGCCGCTGCTCTCCGCCTTTGCTTTGCACCGCGTGTGGGGCACGAGTTTCGACCTCGTCGAGGAGCTGACCTTCTACGCGAGCTACCACTCCGACTGGCGCAACCAGCTCGTCCACATCGTCTTCGTCCCGCTCCTCGTCGCGTCGGCGATGGTCTTCCTCGCCTACGTGCCTCCGCTCGCCCGCGCGAGGCCGCTCGGGCTGCCGCTCAACTGGGCGACGCTCGCGGCGGCGGCGTGGTCGCTGCACTTCGTGCACGCGGCGCCGCTCGTCGGCTCCCTCGTCGCCGCCCTCACCTTTGCCTTTGCAGTCGGAGCCACGGGCGTGGTGGAGCGCGAGCGAGCAAAGAGCGGCACGCGCGCGGTGCCGTCGAGGGAACAGCAGGGCCGCGCCGCGCTGTGGGCGGGCGCGCTGCACGTGCTGGGCTGGTACATGCAGCTGCACCCTGGCCACGCCCTCTTCGAGGGCCGCAAGGCCTACCGCGCCCCATCCCACTCCTCTCTGCTCTCGACACTGCAGTTGGTCAGTGACGGTTCACGGACTCTCACAGTTCGCTGCGAGTGCCCCACTGTGGAAGAGTGCGCAAGGAGTGGCCCAACCCCTCCGCTGCGTGCCCTCCTCCTCCGCCTGCCTGCGCCGCCCGCTCTCCTCTTCACCCATCTCCCTGCTCCGCCGCCCTCCCTCCTCCCTCCGCCTCCCTCTGCCCCCGCCCCGCCGCGCCTACGCAGAGTGTGGCGGGGACGTGTCTGGGACATGTCCGGGACATGTCCGGTGGGCGGGTGTAGGCGGCGCTGGTGGACGCGCTCGTGCAGTCCTTCATGGACGCGCCGCTCTTCGTCTGGATGGAGGTGGCCGTCTAGCTCGGGATGCGGCTTTGCCGCTCTCGCTGCCCCTCCCGTTCCTGGCCCCTTCCTGGCCCCTTCCTGGCCCCTTCCTGGCCCCTTCCTGGCCCCTTCCTGGCCCCTTCCTGGCCCCTTCCTGGCCCCTTCCTGGCCCCTTCCTGGACCCTTCCTGGCCCCTTCCTGGCCCCTTCCTGGCCCCTTCCTGGCCCCTTCCTGGCCCCTTCCTGGACCCTTCCTGGACCCTTCCTGGACCCTTCCTGGACCCTTCCTGGACCCTTCCTGGACCCTTCCTGGACCCTTCCTGGACCCTTCCTGGACCCTTCCTGGACCCTTCCTGGACCCTTCCTGGACCCTTCCTGGACCCTTCCTGGACCCTTCCTGGACCCTTCCTGGACCCTTCCTGGACCCTTCCTGGACCCTTCCTGGACCCTTCCTGGACCCTTCCTGGACCCTTCCTGGACCCTTCCTGGACCCTTCCTGGACCCTTCCTGGACCCTTCCTGGACCCTTCCTGGACCCTTCCTGGACCCTTCCTGGCCCCTTCCTGGCCCCTTCCTGGACCCTTCCTGGCCCCTTCCTGGACCCTTCCTGGACCCTTCCTGGCCCCTTCCTGGACCCTTCCTGGACCCTTCCTGGACCCTTCCTGGACCCTTCCTGGACCCTTCCTGGACCCTTCCTGGACCCTTCCTGGACCCTTCCTGGCCCCTTCCTGGCCCCTTCCTGGCCCCTTCCTGGCCCCTTCCTGGCCCCTTCCTGGCCCCTTCCTGGACCCTTCCTGGACCCTTCCTGGACCCTTCCTGGACCCTTCCTGGACCCTTCCTGGACCCTTCCTGGACCCTTCCTGGACCCTTCCTGGACCCTTCCTGGACCCTTCCTGGACCCTTCCTGGACCCTTCCTGGACCCTTCGCCCACAGGTCGCCTTCAAGCTCGGGTACGACCCGGCCCTCGAGTCGCAGCTGCAGGCCAGCGGGGCAGGGAGAGGGGCAGGGAGAGGGGCAGGGAGAGGGGGAGGGAGAGGGGGAGGGGGAGGGGCAGGGAGAGGGAGAAGGGCAGAGAGGGAGAGGGGCAGTAGAGGAGCTGAGAGGGAGGAGGTTGCGGAGAGGAGCCAAGAGGAGGCGAGAAGGGGCGAGGGGGGGGCGAGAGGCCCACCCGAGCTAGTTGGGACCGCCGAGGCGAGCTGCGAGAGGGTACAAAGGGGACCACGGATGGACTCCCCCCCCCTCCCCCCCTTCCCCTCAGGCGGCGGTAGAGAAGCGGCATGCGGAATGGGCGCAGGCGGCGTAGTATAGGCCGCTGCACCTCGGCGGCGTGGTCGGCCACGTAGCGGCGGCACTGTGCGAGGAGCCGCCCGTCGCCTGAGAACGATGTGTGCCGCGCCGCTTCGAGCAGTGGCGCGGCGGCGTTCGCTGGCCTGACGCTCTCTCCTGCCGCGCGCTTACGCGCGACGTGTGTTACATTTTTGCAAAACAATTCTTGAGACTTGACTAACTCCGAAAGAAAAAAAGTTACGTATATACGGGGAGCGGACCCTGAGTTGACCAGGGGTTGTGCGCTGGGTCCTCCTGCTCGGCTCCAGCCAGTAAACAAGTCTTGTCATCAACAGAGTAGATGGATCTGGCCTCGGGGCCGATGTGACCAAGCGCTGGTAGCGTGGTTTAACCTCACACCCATGGTCTCACAGTGTGCCGGCAGTCGCCGAGCAGTGTCGCTCACACAAGCCGCAGCACAAGAGACTGAGGGCCAGTGAGGGCAAGCCCATCGCTGTCACAGCTGTGGCAGCCGCACAGTGGGTTGTGCCAACTGTGCAGAGCGTGTGAGCAGCAGAGGAGCTGCTCTCCAAGCTTCAGGCGCAAAGAGCTGCATGCCACTGAAGGCGCTGTCGAGGTTCGCCGAGCGCGGCGCAGGTTGAGGGAAGCCGCCACCGACGAGCGCGTTGGAGTATTCACTCCGGACAAAGACGGGGACACAGCGGACGGTGCGGGGTGTGTCCCCGTCATAGCGGCGAGGCGCGGGACCGTCTGTGGCGAGGTGGGTCGCGTCCCTCGATTTCCTCAACTCAGGGTCCGCTCCCTTTATTACGGACTCCCCAACACAGATCGGGACACTCACACTGGGAGTCGTGTGGGGACCAGACTCGGCGAAGTGGTACGTAGTTCGGGGCCCCCTTCGGCGGGGGGGGGGGGGGGTAGGCCTCTCGCGAGCGAAAAGGGGGGGTCGGGGTTGAACTACTGACGAAGCAGAAACTAGCGCAGACGAGAGCAGGGCATCGCGGCGGACGGCGGAGTCGGAGCGGACGGCATCGGCCGCCGAGGGAACGTAGGTAACAAGAGGCACGAGGAGTCGCAGGAGTCGAGGAGGGCGCGGCGACCGCAACCGACGATGGAGGACCCATCGCCAGGCGATGCAGTTAGTTGCAGAGAGCAGACGACACGGGGAGGCGGAAGAGAGCGCCATAAGCATAATCACAGTTCGCGCAACAAATTCGGCGAGCGGCTCGGCCGGCGACAGCGCCACTGGTGCAATAGACGCCTCTGCGAGGAGCGGTGCGCGGCGGTGCGCCCCCGCCTCACTCGTCGTCCGCGGCCTCGTCGTCCACCTTGGCCTCGGACTCCCCCTCCCCCCGCGGGCTCCTCTTCCCCGAGGAGCTCTTCTTCGTCTTCTTCATGCCCGCCCTGCCCGCAGCCTCGTCGCCGCTGTCCGGCGCGGCGTCCTCGCCGCGGGGCGGCTTCAGGTCGATGTCGAAGAACTTGCCCGCCAGCTTTGGCAGCACCAGCTCGAGCAGCCGCTGGTTGAGCTCGGGCGGCACCGCGCACGACCGCAGGACCGTCAGCTCGTGCGACAGCTCAACCACCTTGGGCGGCGGCTCGCTCAGCATCACGACCTTGGCCTTCTGCGCGCGCGGGTGCCAGAAGATGCGCACCCGCGCCTCGACCGACACGCGCTCGAGCCGCAGCCGCGCGAGCGCCGCCTTGGGCAGGGTTCACCCACACGACAGGGAAAGAAAGAAAGAAAGAAAACAGACAACCCAAGGGAGGGATGGGAGACGGCACGCCGCCACCACACAGGGATTTTAAGGAGAGGTGTGTGATGCGCTAGCCGTCGCCCACCCTGGGGAGTCTGCATCTTCCTATCTCTTTTCGCAGTCTCTCGCCGCTTCTCGCTGCAACCTTCATGCCACCTCGCGGTCGTCCCACTCTCGTCGTTCTCTCCCTTGTCACTTCCTCCTCTGTCGCGTCGTTCTCTTCTGCCTCGACAGGAGTGCCGCGGGGCGCGAATTCTTTTGCCCCGAATTCCCAAACTGGCGATGGCGGAATCCGTTGGTCTGTTGGAGAGGATACAGGTAGGAGCAATAGGCAGGCCTGACATCACGCCACTTGAGACATCCCCGAGAGCTCTCACCAGCCGCACGCTCGACGCGCCGCCGCCAATCTCACCAGCCATGGCTTCCATTCGCTCGCGGCCAGCGCTTGGCAACTTTAGCCTGCACACTTCGAGCAACGACATTCTGAGGGATGTGTGACGCGATTTGCTCGATTGCGTCGGCTCATGTGTGCGTGTTTGGGCGCCACACGCTGTCTGTGGAGAGTCTCGAGATGGCATGGGAGGAGAGCGGCTTGCGCTTCGGTTTCCTTCTGCGCTGCGCCTCGCGCAATGACCCGCATGCTGTGATGATGGTCTTAGATCTTACGTGCACTGAAATCACCGCCCGCTTTCGCACACATAACACCCTCGAACACTGGCGCCGTGCGGCGCTCACACAGAACACCCTCTGAACACTGGCACCGTGGTGTGCGTCTGACGGCCTCAGTCAAAGTGCCCAAATCCTAGAGCGTCAATCGCGGCCGAGAAAGCGGCGAAGCCAGCGCAGCCGACGCCCATCGCCTGCGGCCCCGCGCCGGCCGCGAGGACGCCGCCGGTGAGGCAGCCTATCGAGGCGAGCCGTGGCGGGCTGAGGGGTGTGAGCGGCCGTCTTCTCTCGGGCTGCCGAACGGCGCGCCTCCGAAGATCGAGTTCCAGCGGTCAGACTGCGGGGGGCGGCGCGCAGGGAAGAGTGAGGAGGCATCGCGCAGGCGCGGGCCGCGCGCGGGCTGGAGGCAACGGGCGGTCACACACGCGTCCGCGCGACTTTTCGACAAAGCATTCCGAGACTGAGAAGACGGCGCCGATCACGAGGAGATTCTTTCCCCAGGAGCGCGACTGCGAGCCCATCTCCCTCACCCCCCGCCGCATCTGCTCACGCAGAGGCAGGTGCTCCGTCTCTTGTTGCAGCTGCGAGTTGAGCGGGGTGAGCACAGCGCCCAGCACGAGCCCAGCGCCGCCGCCGACGACGCCGCTCACAATCGCTTGCATGGTGCAGCTCTCGCGGAAGGCCTGGCCAGGCTCGACGGGCGGCTGCCAAGGCGTGGGGAAGGTGAACGGCATATACAGCTCTGGGTTCGGAATTTTGGGGACATGGTACAGTCATGACTATAGCCGCAGCCACTCCCAGCTGCTCGGTGTGAACAGAGTTCGTACACCGAGCAGCAGGGAGCTCCGCAACTCGAGATCCCTCGAGAGTTCACGCGGAGTCGGCTGGGGCTATACCAGACAGGGTACAGTTCGCATTAAGAAAACGTCATATCTCATATGCACAAACCCTACCAAGCGATTTCCGCAAACATCTAAACCACGGCGCGCCGCAGGCGCGGCCCCGAGAAAAGGCCAGATACGAGTGTGAACGGGAGCCCCAGCTGCAGCTCAAAACTTCTCTTCGCCTGCGACGCGCGCACTTGTCACTTTTCAAGTCTGCGGTGTTCTGAGTGGAGTGGTCAGTGGATGGAGGCGTGTGTGCGTCTTCCCGTCATCCAGAGAACCGACTCGGCGGCAGACTCTGGCATCGCCCTCGCGGACCGCAGCTTGAATACCTCTTGAGCACTTGAGCACTGGATAGGGTCGATCCGCATGGTACGGGACCCATGCTTTTTTTGTAATCGTCCATCAAGGTATCGTTACACTATGGCGAGCGCGCAACAGTCTGGTGTCGGTGTATTCACAGCCTTGTTATTGCAACTGACCGGATTGCAGAGATAGCCTACTCAGCCTTCATCGACGACGACAACACCGAGGTCGCATGCGTCTGGAACGACACAGGCTGCAAGCCGCCGCCAATCGAGATAGCGCTTGCAATCCAGTCCGTCGCTTCACAGACTATGCCCGACATCAAAACAGTCGAACAGGCTCGCCAGTCTATTTACTGGCCTCTCATCAAACGTGCTATGGAGGATGAGATTCACGGAAAGTACGTCGTCAACCGAGCGTGGGACGTTGTCCGACAGGAGCCGTGGATGCACGTCATTGGAGTCAAGTGGGTCTTTACCTTTGTCTTCAATGACGACGGCAGCATCGCCAAGGTCAAGGCTCGTCTCGTTGGGAAAGGCTTTGGACAACGTGAAGGCAAGGAGTACCACGAGTGTTTTGCGCGCACTCTGAGCGCAACAGCCTTCCGCCTATGGTGTGCCATAGTCGCTGACGAAGACCTCGAGACTGACACGGCCGACGGCGTCAAGGCGTTTACTCAGGCTGACGTCGATGCCGAGATCTACACCCAGATGCCACCCGGGTTCGTCAAGAAGGGCTTTGTGCTCATGCTTCTCAAAGCGCTTGAGGGCATCAAACAGGGCTCCTACCTTTGGTTCAAACTCAACCAGGACGCCCTCGTCAAGCTTGGCTGCGTCGCCTCGCTCACCGAGCCAAACTTCTACAGCCACCCAGCCTTTCGCCTAATCATCGTTGTTTTTGCAGACGACGTCGCAAACGGCTTTGCCGCTTCCGCCACCGACCAGTACGTCCGGTTCAAAGAGGAATATGGAACGTACATCAAGATTGCGACGCTCGATATCGTCCCCATCTCCGTCTTCACCGGAATCGAGGTACTCCGCGACCGAGCCAACCGCACGCTCACTATTCGGCAGACCCGGTACATCGAGCGGATTGCCGCCCTCTACGGCAACGAGATTGGCGCTCGTGCTCAGTCCACCCCAGCCGGCTCGACCGACGTCCAGCGCGCCCTCTTCGATAAGCTCGAGCCTGCTGCCGAGTGCGACCGCATCCCCGTCACCGAGTTCCTGAAGCCGCTAGGAACCATCGGGTGGCCTGCCGAGATGACGCGCCCCGACATCAAGTACTTCTTCTCGAAGCTCGGCTCTTTCTCTCAGGCTTGCGGCGCCGTCCATCGTGACGCCATCATGACCGTCATCAACTATCTCAACGCCACAAAGCACCTCGGCATCACCTACGGCGGAAAGCTCAAGATCCCCTACGGACTCGACACTTTCCCGCCAGGCTTCATCGAGTCTCGTGGCCTCCACGCCTACCATGACGCCTCCTTCGGCAAGGCGCCACACTACGGCGGATGCGTCGTGATGTTCAACAACGGCGCCATCGACTGGAGCGCCAACAAGTCCAAGATCGAGGCTCTCAGCGTCGCCGAAGAGGAGACCGCCACCGCCTCCGTAGCCGCCAAGAAAGTCGTCTCCTGCCGGCTCATGCTCGAGGACGCTGGCCGAGCTGTCGCAGGACCCACGCCCCAGCTCGGTGACTGCAAAGCCGTCTTTGACATCATCGTCAAGCCCGGCTCTACTGCTCGCACGCGCTACTACGAACGTGCCACCATGTTTGTCAAACGCCTCTTCATGCTCCGCCACGTCGCGCCGTACCTCGTCGGCACTGCTTATATGATCGCCGACGTCTTCACCAAGACGCAGGCGACGCGAGCTATGTTCTTCACCTGTCGCGACTACATGCTCAACGCCAGCAACGGCCCCGGCTTTGCTGTGACGCTCCAGGGGCAGGCTGCCCGGCTGTGGAGCAATCTCGTCGCGACCGTCGGCAAGGCGTGAGTCATCACCCCTTCGCCGAAGACGCGCGAGTCGTCCGAGATAGTTGCCGATGCAACTAGGGGGGAGCGTTAGAGACGACTCTCTCTCTCCCAACTGTGAACAGTCGTTATCTGTATATGCGCAGCTATTCATAGCCGCGCCTGTTGTTTGTGTGTGTATCCGCGCTCTTGGCGCGATTACGAGACTGACTAGTGTGTCGCACTAGTTGTACTTTTCGTAATAGTATTCCGCATTCATTGCGAGGGCGGACCACTCCTAGCGTGCAGACCGCGGGAGCTGGTGCCGCGGCCAGTGTAGACCTGGCCTGCGCTGTGACGCGCGCGCTCATCTTCAACGTCCGTTGCGGTTCTTTGCTCGCGTGGAGGCGGCGCGCCGCGCGTCGGCATTGGCGCGCATGGAGAAATGGTGCGCTCGGTAGCCAGCGGCCGGATTATTGCAGCAGACGGCCGCCGCGGCCGGGCTGAGGCAGATGGCCATCGCGGCCGCCGCTTGGGCCAGCAGCAAAACGGACAGCCGCAGCATTGAAATGGCTGATGACTCTCGTCTCGGACGCAGCTCGCGCTCGACGAGCGGTCCACGCGCGGAAATGCAGGCGAGCGACGACGCGCTGCGCGCCGCCTTCGCGTCCGTCCCGGGCCCGCACCCGCTCGATGCGGACTCGGTGAATCTGGCGCTCTTCGCGGTGGGCTGGGACCACCTCCTGCGCGACCTCCGCCTTGGACTGCCGACGCATACGGCTCATGCGGTTGTGGGCAAGCTGGTGGCTGATGGCGTCCGCAGCGCCTTTGCGCTTCGGAACAACCTCGTCCACTTCAAGAAGATCATCCTTGGCATTCATCAAACAAACATCCTGCTCGTGCACGACTGCCGCCGGCTCAGCACATTCTTCCGTGAGCCGCTCAGCCAGGCACACGCGAGCACCGGCGGCGGCGGCGGCGGCGTAGCGGCTCAAGCCGATGACGACGGCGAGTCAAAGGTGCACCGCTTGGAAGGCCGTGGCTACATTCGATCGTCGCGCTACCGCGCGCTGAGCGATGCCTTGTGCGAGACGGAGGGTGCGCTCGGCGCTCTGCTCGACGCGCGACGCTTCACAAAGGCCGTCTGCTGCGTCCCACGCCACCCAGACGCCGCAGCAGCGGCAGCCGCCGCTCCAGCGGCCGCGGCCACCCCAGCGGCCGCCGCGGAAGCGCCCACGCCCACGCCGGCGACGTTTGGGCAGCCGTGCTCTCACTCGCGCTGCGCGGGCGTCCTCGCGTTGGCGCTGCCCGGCTCGATGAAGGGCTATCGCCTCCTCCAGGAGGCCGTTACAGAGGCCGTCCAGGCCGTCCTCCTCCCCACGGCCAAGGAGCAGCACCAGCGCCAGCGCCAGCAGCAGCAGCAGCAGCATGACCAGCAGCGCGACCAGCAGTGCCACCACCCGCAGCAGGAGCAGCTCGGACGCGAGCTCGAGGCGCATCTTGGCGCGTGCACGGCGCGGATGGCGGCGCTGCAGGCCGCGCAGCGTGGCGACAGCGGCTTCGCGGCGCTCGTCGACACTCTCTCCTCCGAGCTCCGTTTGTCACCGGCGAGTGCGTGGTTTGTGCGGTGCGCCCTGATCGCACGCGGCGGCGCAAAGGCCCTTGTTGTCGCCGAGGAGGCGCGAAAGCTGACCGCGGCGATGTGCTGCCTCCTCGAGGCTTGCACGAAATGCGCCGCCACGCTCGCTGATGGCGTGGCCGCCATGGAGGCGGCGCCGCCGCCGGCAGACGCAGCGCCGGCAGAGGCCAGAGCAGGCGACGGCGCGGCGGCGGCGGCGGGCGGCGGCGCGCCTCCGCGCGCGCGCCGGCCGGGCGACCCGGCGATCAAAGCCCGCGTCATCGTGCGCAAGCACGAGCGGCGGCTGCACGGATTGAGCCGCTGCCTTGAGAGCCTCGTGCATTGGCTGGCGGTGATCAGCGAGGGCAACGCCGAGGGGCGCGTGCTGTTTGTGGGCACCGATGGCGACCTCGCGCTCGGCACGACCTCCTTCGTCCCTCGCGGCTTCGACGGGCTTCTCAAGCCGTTTGAGGCGGTGAGGGCGCTCGCCGACGGTTACAGCACGCAGATGGTCGACCGCATCGCAGCGGAGGGCTGGCCAAGGTGGGTTTTGCAATGGGGCGCCAACCGCGGCGGCGTCGAGGGCGGCGGCGATGGCGCTGGCAGTGGCGGCGGCGTCGATGGCGCTGCCGCCGGCGCGGCGGGAGCGGCAGAGGCGGGCGCGGCGGAGGCGGGCGCGGCGGAGGCGGGCGCGGCGGAGGCGGGAATGGCGGAGGCGGGCGCGGCGGCGGCTTCGGGAGTGGGTGCGCGCAGCGGGCGCGGCGGGCGGCGTGGCGCGTCTGAGTGCTCCCACTGCGCGCTCTCGCTGCCTCCGACGTGGGTCCGCGACGGCGTCTGCCTCGGGTGCGAGCACCGGGTGCGGCGGGAGGGGCGCTGCCCATACGGCGGCATCGGCCGCCGCAGCAAGTGCGACGGCCGCGCGTGGTGCGCGCACGACCAGCGCTGCTTCATCTGTGACGGCTGGTCGTGCGGCGCGTGCCGGCTCCTGCAGGGCGATGGGGCGGACGTCGCCGCCGCGGTGGAGGCATTGCAGCCGTTGCGCCTCTTTGTGGACTTTGACCGCACGCTCTGCTCCACGCGCGGCGGCTCCCCTCTCCACGGCAGCCACACCGTCGACGACGACCTTGTCAGCCTGATCTCACAGCTGGAAGGCCGCGTGCACATTGTCACTCGCAACGTCCACGTCGACGGCATCCGGAGCTTCTTGGATGGGATCGGCCTGACCCACGTCCCCGTCCACCGCGTGCCAAAGCCGCGCTCCAAGGCCGAAGTCGTCTGCGACCCGCGCTGGGCGGGCGGCGCGGAGGGCCATGGCGGAGGCGACGGTGGGCAAGGCGGAGAGGGCGAAGCCAGCGGCGTCGGGGGCGAAGGCGGCGGCGTCGGGGGCGAAGGCGGCGGCGTCGGGGGCAAAGGCGTCGTGCTCTTTGTGGACGACTCGATCTCGGAGCACCTTCGGGAGGATATACGCTCCAACGAACGCGTCGTCCGCTTCCTCTTCTCGCGCACGCGCTCGAGCGCCGCCTCGACGTGAGCCAGAGTGCTTCGTCCGATGTAGATCACAAAGGAATGTAAGGTTGTACTACCTCCGGTCAATGAAAGATTATCACTCGCGTGCGTCGCGCGGGTGTTGATGTAGCGACCGGTGTTAAGCATGGATTGTGTAGCCCTATGATAGAGCTACACGAGCTACACTGAACTTTTTTATCCATTCGCTTCCTGGGACCCGCCGCATATCACTCAAAATCGCACTTTTCAGCTGAAAACACGCTCCGTACGGCTACTTTTCGATGCAAATGAGCGCCTTTGCGAGCCCACCAAGGCGCACAACAGCTTCTGCAAAGCTGCTCCGCTAGCACCCTAAGCCCAATGATCATGAATCGATTGAATACAACCGAAGAAGCCTTGTGGTGACCTGAGCATGTCGTACGGCAGCACCAGATTGAGCAAGACACCTTTGGCGTCCATCAGAAGGGTAACACCGGTTACCTCGCCGTACTCGCGCGTGGTGTTTGCTCGCCCGCCTCTCTCGAGCCACGAACGCACCGCCGCTTCGTCGCCTCGCAACACCGCGTCTTCTGTACAGGGCCGTGCCGATCGTGCAGCCGCAAACAAGAGGGAAATCCGAGGAACACTCATGTGCTTCTGTAACAGATGAACTCGGGCACAGGACGCGGCACAAACGGGGTACCCCAAAAGGCACAGGCTTCTTGTCGGCTTCTGTAGCGGGCAAGTCCCGTTTTTTTCCGGCGCCCCGGCCCCGGTTGTGAGGCTTCGTCAACTTTTGCTTTTAAAATTCAGCGCGGCAATTAGAGAGGTCGGGCCGGAAAAAGAATTTCTCAAAAGTCAGAGAAGATGGGCCATACACAGGAGTGGCGAGGTTCGGGATGGGGCGCATGATGACGTGGTCCGTCTCGAGGATGAGCACATAGTCACTCGTCTTTCGGATCTCTGCGAGGAGGGTCGTGCTCACCAGAAGCTCACCACGGTGCTCGCGGATTCGACCATCCGCCGTCTGACTGCGAATCCGACGGCGGCTTCTGTGAGGACGACGGCTTCTAATTCTATTAGAAGCCGTCGTCCGCGCTTTGCCTGTTGTGTGAATCGTGCGTGTGCGAGAGAGTTTGCTGGTAAAATTCCTTTTCGGAAAAATTCTTTTTGAGCTAATAGGAACAAGCGAAGGCACACACAACATGACGCCAAACACACGATTGCACGCACCGCACCGCACCTCGCACCCGCGCCCGCCGCCCCCCCGTCCCCCGACCCCCGCCCCGCCTAGGCCGCGAAATTCTTTTTCTTTTTCAGACCCACGACGAGTATGGCGACGCTGCTGTCAACGTACCGCAGCAGGGCCACAACACCAGACACAAGTACACGCTTCGACGCCTCATCCTCGCCCTACGCGCCGCGTGGGGCACCGCTGTGCGAATGGAGCCGAAAGCCCACCTCGGTCAGAGTTACAACAAACAACCCGACGTGGACGCGGACAACATTGGCAAGGACGGCACGCACTATTGCGGAGATGTCAAGGTCGTCTGTTCCCTCAGCAGCAGCGGGGAGCACGGTCGGAAGGGCGCTTTTGTCGCTTCGGCAACACTGAATCAT